TTACATCTGTGTACTACAAAAACAATAAGCTTACAATATGACTGCACATTATAAATAATTACAACATTTAAATTGGGTCACTGATAATGTCTCTGTAAGCGTTTTTGTGTATTTAGCCAAGTTAAAAATAAGTAAAATAGATGGCAAAAGTCTTGTATTAAACCGTATATGGTAGAAATGTATATTTTATTTATCACCAAATAATATAACCTAAAGCACGTTGTTATTCATAGCTATAAAATTTTAAAATTGTTACAAACATTATTTTAAGTACTGCTGTAGCTATATAATTCGTGTAGCTAAACAGTAATTTAAAAGGCAATGACTTTTTAGTAGATTCTTAGTCTTAGCATAGGTTTTCAAATATTTCTTTAAGTATTTTTACACCTGGAACTTTGTTAGTGGCCCACTGTCTCCGGGGGTTGTCTCGGCGCACAAATGAAATCTCGCAGGCATAACGAGCTCATGACTCTTTGCCGGCAAGGGTTGGGCAGGATCAGGAGCAGGGGAAGGACCAGGAGCAGGAGCAGGAGCCAGGACTCTCACACACACATACACAAGGGCACTGACATAGGCAAATATATAGTGGCTGAGACTTGGGCACATACACATAGAAAAATATGGCACGTACTCCCCGAGAGCCATAAGTTTACGTTTTATATCGGGCAAACTGTGCAATATTATAAATTTTGAATTTTATCTCGGGCATTAGATTGCCAGCAAGTTGCCTGGTTGGCTGCGAACCTCTCTCCGCTCCTCCCGAACCCACAATATTTCCCAGACTTTGTGTGAGTTGGGTTGGATGGCCGACCGCCCCTTTCTTGTTAGGGATTAAACGAAAGGACGTGCTCGAGGGCGAAAGTAGGAGCTCCTGGCGGACGGGGCAGGTGGGTAATGGATGGCAACAAAGGGTGATTATCGCGATTGGCGAAATAGTTGGGCCGGAGCTCAGGTCGGGGCTGGGGCTGGGAATATTAATGTGAGAGGTATCTGGGAACTTTGTGCGTTGTCGTAACTTCTTGAACTTACTGTTCTCTCTTCATTCTTTCTCTTTGATATTTTCCAGGTCCAAGGACATGCACATAGCGGGGATAAGGACACGTCTTCTGTGACAAGTGCTGGCTAAACGTCTGAGGTTATCGCAATCATTTTCGATTCCACGGGCCCATCCCCGCCCAAAAAACCCGGACAGCAGCAACCACCGAACAGGACGACCGGAAGTGAGGAAAACGCTTGTAAAATCGGGCACACGAGTGCGAGCGAGACACGAGCGAACGGGCCGAAAGGAAACGACAATTACGAGGACATGCCGGCTTGCCTTGCTGCTGTTCCTGTCTGCTCCTTTCAGTTGCGGCCGTGCAATCGTCGGGTCAACAACGCCGCGTGGCTGATACGGATCTACGCGAGAATATATCTTCAACTCTGGATCTAGTTTCATCTGTATCTTCATCTGCAACTGCAGCGACGCATCCTGTTTGGCACTTTCGGATTATGGTGATTCTGTGCGACCTCGTAAACGTATACTGAATGTATCCTGAGTGTATCCTATCCGGTATACCTTCAGTATACGTAACACGAGGAAGCACGAGCAACGCGGGATGTGAAACACTTTACTGTTAAAACTGTTGAATACGGAACACATTGTGATTTACTTATTTACCTTAACACTGTTAGTCTTATAAATACCACATTGTTATTGAAGAATTTAATAAATATACAATTAAAAATGATATAACGCACTTTTACGAATTTTACTAAATGGATGGGAAAGTTTCGCGGCACGCAACCTGTTGCTTTTGCTTTTGGGACCAGATGGATGGAACAGCTGACTTGAACATCGCCAAGGGGCAACGATTATGCAACAATGTTGATGGATGATAGCACAAACTGAACAATAAACGGAACACCATATATATTCTTTAAAATTTCGAGCCAAGTTCTCCAATTGTATTACTTAGTTATTTTTCTAAAATTCAATCTTAAACAAAAGCATTTCATTTGAATAAAGACAAAACAAAATAATAATATATTTAATTTTTTATGGGTCATAAAGAAATTTTTTTCTGTCATAAAATCTCATTTAATATACTCATTAAAAATCTTTATATGGCCGCAACATGTATTTTTCAACACACAATAAATAATTAATATTTGGCATATACAATGACAATTTAAGCTGTTAAAATATTTTAAAGACAATATTTTTTCTAAGAAAAACAAGGATTGGCTTGCGTTATAAGTTAAACAAAACATTGAGATTTGTGTTTAAATCTGTCAGATCCGAAATGTATAATTTATTTCTGCACCTTTTTAAAGATTCAAACAAATTTGTTGATCACAATTTTATATATTTAACAATACACATTTAACAATACACAAATAAAAGTTAAATTAAAATAGCTTATATCATTTAAAATGTACTTTTTAATGTAAAAAAACGTTTTTCAAAAACGTAAATTGGAAGAAATAAGTATTTGTAGAAGTTTTAGAGGAATAAGCTAAATTAAAAGAAAAATATATCAGTAGGATCGAACAAATTATACCTTTATTAAACAAGTTAAGTTAACAAGAATGCAAAAAATAAGCACTTTATTAACCTTTTATCAGTGGGATTAAAAAAAATATATACCAACATTAAACAAGTAAAATCACAAGATTTCAAAAATAAAACACTTTATTATTAATAATATTTATTGTTTAATAATAAATAAATTGAGTAAAATAACTGCATCATTTAAATTTTCCTTGCTTTACCAGCGACACTGACGGCCAGTGGGTGAAACCAGTAGAGCGCCATCTATTGGGCCTCAGCTGTACCTGCACCTATTTTGTGCGCATAATCGATTTCAAAGGGAATCGGGGTTGAAATTCGGTTTCTTATAAGAATAGTATTGCAAATAATTTGCAATTGTATCAGAAATAGGCTTCACTGTATTCAATAATTCATTCGGTATTTTTTGTTGAAAACAATTGAGGTAATTGATGGCCTAAAATAAACAATAAAGAGCATATGGAGGGCTATGACTCAATTTATGGTTGCCGAACATAAGTTGATTTTCATAATTTATTTCTGGCCTTACTTCTTCCTTGTTTACTTATACCCTGGCTTAGGGTAGTTTATTTTGGTAAAATTTTGGAAAGGAAAAGAATATATATATAAACGTTCAAATTTTAAATTGTTCATATTAATGGTATTATATATTATACGAGCCTTAGAAACATCAATGAAAATTATATCAGTTTCGTTTCGTAGAGATAATGCCATTAGTTCCGTAATATTTTGAAGTTTTCCTGTCATAAGTTAAAAACTCATGATCGTGCATTATTGTCTGATATGATTTAAAGATTTTCTAGAAGAATACAACTATGCAACTTTATACTTTAAAATTTCAGATTTTTGTATAATGTATCTCCAAGTTGCCTGTGTCCAAGGCGTTGAACCTCAGCTGGCAACCAGCGCTCAAGTCGAGCATACAAAGTATCTTGGAGATACCTCACCAAGCTGATAGAGAGGTGGATGAGGAAGAGAAAGAGCAGGAGAAGGAGATGGAGAGAAAGAGGGGACAACCGCAACGAAGGAGATAACGCAACCAAATACGAAACTCGCTCGACAACAACAAGCAAATGAATTTATGAGCATGCCCAGCTCTCGTTCTCCGTTTCTCTCTCTCTTTCTCCCTCTCTGTCTTTTGCTCCCCCCTTCCCCTTCCTCACCATCATTCGCTGTCCCGTTGCCATGGCAACAATGGCCGCTGCGAAGGAGCGCGCAAAGCGGAGAGCGAGAACATTTAATTCGGCCATATTTGATTTTGGACATGCTGTCATTGCTCTCGATTTTCGGGGTGGGTTTTCGGATTTCGGTATCTTTCAGTGCGTCTGCTCCGTTCATCTTTGTACGAGTGCCTTTGTATCTGTATCTACAGCCGGTTCCGCCGGCAAAATGAGATGGCTTTAACTTTAACCTCTGGCGTAATTTCCCGGCTCATGGCTTTTTCGGGCACAATCATGGCATGTTAATCCCTTATTAATTTTACGATCTCGCAACTGGGGAGCTGTGGGCCAAACACGTCTTTAAAAGCAAATAAATCAATTTCTTGTCGTCTGGGACCCACCTACTGTATATATTGCCCAAAATTAATATGCAACGAGAGGCTTATGAGCCTAAATGGCCATCGATTAACTATAAAATTGGCGATTTACGGTTGCGACCATAAAGTCTTGATTCGAGTTGGAGTAATACAAGCGGTGGACTGCGAATGAGAATCGGATTCGGGTTGGGTTCTTTCTGGCGCTGGGAGCACATTATCTATAAATATAGCTGGTGGAATTTATGGGCGAGTCTTAACCTGTCGAAAATTGATTTACGACTCATGAGTCGACAGCGCTAACCATGCGATCCCAGCAAAGTGAGTAAGATATTGGCGGAATGTCTAACGAAATACCACTTGTCCCATACACCTGTCCTTAAAATGATTGAGGCTCCATTAGCTTTCCAAACAAGTGGACATAAAGTATATACGTACATTTGTATTTATAACGCCTTCATAACAGCGCAAAGCTATAATTTACCATGTTGGTAAAACCATTAATTAGGAAAGGTGTGAATAAGTTTACTGCATCTATAAAAAGATCGTATATGTATATCAAGATAATCATTTTCATTTAATTCTAGAAGAGGTACAAAAATAAAGAAGTAGACTTTTGTTCTTATTCTGCAGAGGAATGCTAATTCGGCTTCTTTTCCCTTAAAAACTAATCGGATGAGAAAATAAAAACCTTCCCTAGGTTTCATTTAAAATACCTTCTCTGGAACCAAGTCTTTGCTAAATACAATCATGATTATGGTGATTATTCTAAGGGGACAGTCCACATAGGTTCGCCTTCTTTACGACGCCGTCAAATCTTAATGAAAATCAATAAAACGCTGGCTTGGTTCCCATATTCAGATGGCTAATAAAGCGATTACTTATCGGCTGTTTGTATCAATTGGCATTACTTACAAGTGCCCAGAGTATCCATCTGCGAGTCCCTCGAAGAACTGCAAAGAAAGACGGAGAGACGGAATTAAAAATCTTCGCATGGCTGTAAAATTATTCGAATTGAAAATTGTCAATTAATGCACTTATTTCCAGCAAGACTTTGGCCGATAAGGCGCAATGAACCCGAGGGACGGGACTGGCATCAATTTCAATAACTCGAAGGCGGAGATTTTTAGGCAGCCCCGCCGGAGGGTGGGGTAATTTATGCATTCTTTGTTCTGTCTACATGCCACTCGTGATATTTAATTTAAAAAACAACAAGGGAAACAGCTCACAGTCATATATAGTATGTATATAAACAAACAAGCTAAACGTGCACTTGGCATGACAGACAACGAGGGAAAAAAATCAGACAACCGGGGGAAATGGGCTTGGGATTGGGTCTGGGATTGCGATTGTCGAGTGACCACAGCGTTCCGAATATTTAAATGCAGTCGCCCATAAGACATTCGAAATTGCCATAAATAAGCAGTCCAGTGACAGGCGTCATTTTCGAATTCCTGCGGAGGCGATTCCACTCCACTCCATTCCCGGCGGATAGGATGCGTCATTAGCCTTAGCCCCTAGATTGTATGCCGGCCGGCCAAGAATAGCCAAAACACTCACGTCACGCTGGAAATCGGGGGTTGCCAATATAGGGGCTTATTTTTTGCGACCTCGAAATCATAATTCAGGATTTTATGGCCTTTTAAGTGCCATTAAGTCAACTCTTTCCTCGCCCGCGGCGTTTGGCGAGGCCACTTTCGCTTTTTCCTTGAACATTCGCTGCCGGCAATTAAACATTTTGTAATTGCAACTCTTTGACGTAGCAGAACGGAACCGAAACGAAGCGATCCCAAACGAAAAGAACAGAACGGAACCCGACCATCCCGAACGATTTGTGATTTTTTAGATTTTCACTCTATTTGCGGTGCTGCGCCCACACAGACACCGAGATACCAAGATACCGAGGTACTAAGATACGAAGGCGGCAGCAAATTCAAGGCACTGCGACGGCCATTAAAACTGCTTTATGGTCCCTAAAAACGAAAGCGAGAGTCTCGCCCAAGGAGGAACATGTGTAGGGGTTTGTTTTCCCATTTCCATTTCCATTTTCCTCGCCCGGCCACGCGGCGGAAGGATTAATATTTTTATGGGGCACTTTTCTGGCTGTTTGCTGAATTTTGCAACAAATTGTTTTACGGCCCACGGGCGGTTGAGCTAGAATCTCTGGAAATTCTACAAGCAATTGAAAATCCTTCTATTAAGGACATTTCGGCTTTAAATGAATGGTGAGCCGTGCCTTTTACCTTTGATATTTTTAGTTAAAAAGTCTCAGATATCTAAAATTATAATTGTTTTTAATCTAGCAATAAAAAGACATTAAACCTAACAGAAGCTATTGTCAATGCCAATATAAATAATGTATTTTTAAATTAAAAATGTATTTTTATGACATATAGTAGTAAGAAAATTAAAAAATATACCGTGGGACCGTTTAAAATAGAAACATTTTTGAAAGCTTAGTTTTAAAACTAAAATTATATTGTTCTGGGGATTGGAATTAGCTTATAATATATTAAATTTGTTGTAATTTAGTAATGGTCACTAATTTTTAAAGGTATTTCAACTGATATAAAACAGACTAAGTCCAAACACAACTCAATTTAATAGATTTCTATCGCTAAAATAAGAATGGAAAGATATTTGTATGGGGTGATGTAAACTTACGAGCTTCTATTTAAAATTTAAATGTAGAGAACAATATTTGTAAGTAAATTACTTCTTCCTTGCATAATATTTTGAATATATAATATATTATCAAAATTTAAAAACAGACAAGATTCTCTCTTCGGTTTTGTTTTTATGATAATTAGGTCGTTGAAACCCGAAACGAAAAATATTCGACAAAGTGACAGGCCAAATTAAAATTTATATGCATATAGCAGATCTTCTAAAACAATTTGTAGATTACCTGACGCAATCGCATTAGCAGACTAATTTTAATGTTAACTGTGCGATTTCTATGCAAAATCGTTTTTTAAAAGTGTGAAACGGAACGAGCTAAAAATACTCAGGCAAACAAAAGGAGTATCAGATATCAAATACCGATTCTTAAATGAGCGCGTGAAAAGGCGCGGTTTCTGTTCTGCTCACCTGTTCGTTCACCTGAGTTTTCTAGGAACCCACCTCTGATAAGGCTCATTCCCCCGATTGGAACCCCTTTTTCCCCATTTCTCCAATTTCGATCTCCCTCGGCGACGGCGAACGGCTGCCATTTATGTGCGGTTCGAAAGCGCCTAAAGTAAACATTTAATTGCGCCATTAATTGCGCGGTAAGTGTGCCAGATGCACATGCTCGTGCTGGAGAGGCGTGGGGGCGGGGCCAAGAAAACAAACAAATTCCTTCGGTTTGGTTAAGTGCCCAGCGGTGCACTCGAGAAAAAAGTCCGCTCCACTTCGCTCCTCTTAAAGACCCTAACCTGCTGACTTTTACGAGCATCGGAGTCTTCCATTAAGGCGCTCCGAGTTCGCTTCCCCGCTTTCTCCGGTCCTGATCCTCCATTTTCCCCACTCTTTCTCCCATTCTCCATTTTTCTCCACACTTGAAAAAATATATTAGAAACTTATCTCGACATTTCCGTACATTTCTCCCTCAGTCATGGTTTAAGTGGTCTATAACCTGACAGAACTTATTAACTTTGAAATTCAAAAATAAAATGTGAAAAATAAATCATTCAAGTACCATGAAAAAAGCCCTTTTTCTAAGTGTAACTGGGCCGCCACCTTGCATCCCGAGCTACAGTCGCTCGGCAACTTCTGGCGCATTAACTTTGTGTGTTTAATGCGGAAAATTATTGTCAATACAATCGACTTTTTATGATGCTTAACTTGACAGTTTTTGTTGCTGTTCCGGTTTTAATATTTGCCCTTCTGCCGATTCCTCTGATCTTGGGATGTTCTTGATCGGGGCTCCACTGTATACCCATCTCCTTAATTATGATTCAATTAATGAGGAGTAAATAAACAACGAATCAAGATGGATGCTACTGGTAAATAGTGTTCATCGTAAAACCTTTTCCTTGGATGTGAGCGTAGGACTGGCCAGCTTAATTGAGTTTATAATTAACATCTACTTTAGGGAGCAACCAATTTTAATCCAAAAAATATTCAGAAACTATTAAAAAATGTTGAGAAGATAAATACTTATGAAGCGGTTTTACATTTACATCTATTAGATTTAGATTGTATAATATTCGAACATAAATAAATATGATTTTATAAAATGTAATCGAAACAGTTAGAATAATAACTATTTATTTAGTCTTCTTAGTTAAGTATTTCAGGATAAAGGGTGAGGCATATGAAATTTTTATAATGACAATGTATTGCAAACTTCTTGATTAACATCTGCACTAAATATCATAAGCCTAAGCAAATTAAAAGACCATAAGTATTAAGCAGGTGTAAAGTCCCCCATAAGCAACTATTTGCTCCGAGATGGAGCCCGATTAAAGTGAATTCCATTTGCCAAAAATGAAACGACACACGACGCGCCGCCTGGCGCCATTAACTTAATCGAACGGAAAACCAAACAAAAGCCGCAATTAACATTAAGCCCTTCGTCAGTCTGGTTTTGGGTTTTGGGAACTGTTTCGGGTTCCTTCGCCAGGTCCTTCGATCCTGCGATGAGGGCTCCAGCAAACCTGCACAACCCATGGGAATGTTGGCTCTCGGGTGAGTGCGTGTGTGTTTGCTAATTTGAAATTCTGTGGCGTAAGCACAGGAACCCCCGATACTCCACCATCGCCATCATCATCCCATCCCCGTGTGCCACAGGCGAACTACATTAAATTTTAGAAAACACAAAATGCCGCTTTCCGTGTTCCCTGCTTGGCAAACAATTTCACATAAATTTACGTTGAATTACAACCGACAATGTGTACAAATGCACCGGGGGAGTGGCCGGGCAGGGGGCTATTGCCAAAGTTGTGACTCGGTCTTGTGTTCTGCCATCTTTTTGGCAAGCCAGAAAATGTATTCCAGACACGCATCGGGCCATTTTGCAAACGTGCCACCGAATGAGGCCCAGCTCCGGTCCCCGTGCCGCCCCGTCCCTCCCCGCCCCCTTGAACTCTGCAAACACACAACCGCAACGACATCCGCCCACCCACTCAGAGGGCCCTGAAACTTTCCGGCTGACTTTGCTTTTATTTTCCCAAACCGCCTGCCCCACCCGGAAATCACGAACGGAAAGAAGGACCAACTTTCCGCTCTTTTTTTGCGAAAATAAGTAAAGTTTGAATTCGGCAGACATGAATTACTTCTGGAACCTCCATTACCCAACTGCGCACCCAGGGACCTAGTTTAAAACGGGACAGTTCAACCAAAAATGTGGCGAGAAAAACGCCGATGAAACAAAAATACATATTTTAATTTTAAATGGGAATTTATTTTAGAGTTCTTTCTTCTAAAGTTCTGAGAATGTATCCTATTAATACCATAAAATTGTAATGTACTTCCTAAAAAATAAGACCGCCATTCTACTCTTTCTAAATAAAATAAAATAAATTCAAAAAGAATTCTGCTCTAACCAATCCTTCCTTTTATTACAAAAATTCTATACAAAAAAATGAAGTTCCAATTTTATTAAGTATTTTTCGTCCGTAAACTTAAGTCATTATAAACATTATAATTTTGTTAGTCTCCCTTTCTTTTTGGATCACAGGATGTCAGTTTTATTAAAGTTAGGGCTGATATTAATCAAAATGTATTGATCAAATTAAAAAATCTGTAAAGGAAACAAAAGCATAACTAACCAATTAATATTTTTTAAAGTTATATCTGTCGGGAAAAACTAAATTTTTCAACACCAACAGAGAGTAAGCCAATTTCTCCCCAAGGACACGAACATAGTTTTCCATATTTTTTCCTTCCTCGCTTTTTCTTACATTTTATAATCGCCGCCGCTGCAAAATATATGAAATAAATAAATAATAAAATACACTGGCTGGGAGGA